TCTATTCAATTTCAACCACAGGCGCACTATTTCTATATTTTCAATGTATTTATTCAGATTTTTATTTTTAAAGGGTTAAATGCACCCAACCTATAATACAGTTATGGTTACCTAGTGGCACCTGGAGCCTTTTCAGAATGGCAAAATCTTGGACCTTCCAAAAACTGAATTTTGAGGTAGCCTTATATTATTATGCCATCCTTAAAACACAGAACAGGAATGTTACAGAAGACATTTAAATTTGAATGGTTATAACAATGGGGGAAGAGGAAACCGAGCCCTCCAGCACTTCTGGACATCCCTATACTTTCTCTTTGCTGCTTCTCTCCCCACTACGTTCCCTTCAAGCACAGGCTCCTCTGTTCCTGTGTTACTACTGTGTAGCATGATCGTAATTCTGACCATCTCTTAATTCCCTCTCCCAGGAGACGCACATATATCCAAATCGCTTAGAGCTTCCTCTCATTTTCCACACACATATCGCAATTTTCCTGGCGATACCTACATCTCTGGAAAACCCAAAGAGGGTATAAAAAGGGAGAGGGCAGTGTGATACTGTGGTACCTCTACAGAGCCAGGGAGCAACAGGGAAAGGAAAGGGTGCAGAAACATCTACAAATGAAAATGGCCAATCAAATGCTCTTATATACTGGAATAGTGTCACTTTCTTTGAAGCTGCTGCAGGTCACGGTGCGTTTTTTCCACTGGAACTCTCCACTGTAAAGCAAAGTCCCCTTTTGTTCATGAATGATGTCCTGAAAAGAGAAAGAAATGCCTGGCCCAAGCAGGAGGATCAGCTTCAAAAGGAAGAGAAAAATGAGAGAACAACAGTTCAAAAGTCCCTACCCAGGGAACCTGCAGGGTATTCCCTTCTCCCAGTCTCCTGCTCTTCTCCCAGCACGGACACCAACCTGCAGCACCCAGCACTAGCAGGTCCGTCAAACCCAGTGGTCTCTGCTACTACAGAGATTTTTTTAAATAGAGATATATATATATACACCTATATATTATATTTTTAACTGTATATAACTATAGATACAGATTTTATATATATATATATTTATTTATTTATATATGCACACACATGTATGTACCACAAAAGTATGTACAAGTATAATCCAGTCTATAACTCAACATTTTACAGCATCAGATCTTAGGTCTGTTGCAGATAAAGCATAAAACGTACAAGGAGAAAGTCATCAAATGGCTATAGAAGTGGTGTCTGTTATTAGAGGCTCTTCTGTAAACAGGAAAATGCCTTCACATTTCCTATTTGACATTTAGCTATCCCCAAAGAGTGCTGGTAAGTTGCTGAAGTTTCATTTACTGTAACAGAAGAATTTTGTAAGGTATCTCACAAACATAATGGGAACACTCTGGTGAAAATTAAACACATGTCCAGAAGGATAATCTTAGAAATATGAGTACATCTGTTCTAAATTCTTTCTATAACTAAGAAACACTTCTGACATTTAAGGGAAAATGAGATCAGCTGTTATGTGATTTGAACCCTGGTATAATGAAAGTAGCATCATTCAATCATATTAGTCTACTCTGAGTCCAGTAACTAGTATTTGGTAAAGCACGTTGTCTCTCTGGATGTGAGGAGACTGAGATATAGAAAACTCAATCCTTTCCACTGTAGGGTTTTTTTCCCCCCTCACATTTTTCCAGGTTACTCGAGCTTTTCTGCGAGAGAACTGTTTGCAAGATCCTCTTTTTCCCAGAAACCAAAGGTGAAAGAAAAGCAGGGAATTTCTGACAGAATTGATGTGGTAGGATGTTACAGCATAAATCACCGTTCCCCACTAAATCTATGAACATACAATCTGTCATGTACAATTACAGGGAGTGATGTGAGCTGGTCCCAAATGTCTTCCAAATGCTCTTATCATACTGAATCTATTTACTCAGTTATAATGAACACTGATGGATGTCTAGAATCTCCTTGATCTGCCCTAGCTGTTAGCATCGCTTACTAAATAAAATCCTGCTGGAACCATGAATATAAGTAACACACATGTACAGTACAAGTACTTACAACTGATGCTTAAACAAACGGATGCGCTTCCTCTTTCGGAAGATATCTGAGGAACACTGAAGACTAACAATAATTTTATGAACTGTCACTTTAATAGTTTTACCTTTTTTGCATGGCAGAATTAAAAATTAGATATATGCAGATCATTTCCCAAATTAACTGAATCAAGTGAGGGGGAAACCATGAGCAGCTATAACTTAGGAAATCTGAAGATCAAAGAACGCGTGCACTTTTGTTAAATACATCTGACATTAAGATTAGCAGGATCATATTTTCTATTTTGAAAGTCAAATCTCAACTAGACTGCTTCCCTCTGATAATAAATGGATACAAATCTTTAAGAAAATAGGCTTTCCTTACTGCTCTCTAATCTATGAATAGTAAACACCCGATCCAAGTTACTTTCCACACTGGCTCTGAAAGAAGCTGATAGCTGGAGTTCCATTCAACCTCTGTTCTTACGCCGAGTAAGAAAAGACAAGCAGAGATGTCCAACTGAAAATCACACATTAGTAACTAGAGCTCTTTGAGGTATGTTGTCCATGTGTCGATTCACACTCTTCCTCCAAACTGCAATGGATCTCAATATAACAAGATCCTCCTAGATATACTTCTCCTCAGTGGCATCCTTCAAAAGGGTAGAGTAAGCTCAAACACGCTTCTTAAAACCTCTCCACTCCAAATGGAGAGTTTAAGCACTATGTTAGAGAGAAAGGTGGGAATATGGCCCTCACATCTTAAAGAAATTTTACTTTTTTAAATAATGTGTCACATGTCTGGCTACAATACTTCAAGATACTCCAGGAAACATCCACTCTCTAAAATGGGCTTAAAATTCTTTGAGAACCTCACTGCCAATATAGCTCAACTGCATGCAGGCTCATTCCCAAATGCTTCAGTAAACGCGTAGGAATGAGTATAGCTCCAGGTCTGAAGTCTGGAAATGACCGTTGTCAAGAAATTTGTAGGAAAAATAGCATATACTGGGCAAACCTCTGTTCAATGACTCAAAATACCACTATTCGAGCACCTCAGGATAAGTTTCAAGAAAACCTGTTACCTACCTGGACCAGCGGTAATGAAGAAAGTTGTTTCTCTAATGCAGAAAGATCAGGAACCATCTGAAATGCTTAGTTCTGTGATTATAAAAAGGACTTCTGACTTTCAGAAGAGATGAAGAGATCCTTTACTTTTAAAAGCATGAGTCCCAGGAAAGAGAACTGAAAAACTGCTTCATCCAAACAAAGTTTGGACATATTTGGATGAAAGTAAGTGTTTGCGACCTGGGATATATTCTACCAGAAAAAAATTCATTCTGCTACTAGAGCCACATCTCATCCTATTTCCCTCAAAGAAAACCAGTGACCAGGAATGCATTTTTTATATAAATACTTGGCCAGATGCTCAAAAAGACAACTCACGGGCAAATACAAGCATAAAATCTCTTACTGAACAGGGAGAAAGAAGAGAAAGGTTTAACAACTTGACACACTTGTGAGAACACTGAAGCACTTGCAGAGGACAGGCCAAACGCATATCAATATTTGCCAATTCTGATACAAAGACAAAGTAAATACTCCAGAACCAATGCTGACCTGACTATCCTTTCTGAAAGGAAACCTCAGCACAATCACTCCCAGGAAGCGATGCTGAAACTCAAAGAGCACGTAAACAGGCTGCACACCCTCTCAAGAGAATACAGGCATTGACAACACGGGTTGGCTGCAGGGATTCGCATCACCAACCAGACACAAACAAATCTGTCGGTGTCATTATTGACAGAGTTCCTGTGTCAGTGGAGGTACAACGATGTTGCTGATGGGAAAGATGGCGGGGGAAGACAAGGACATGGTGGAAGGGGCAGTGCATGTGAAAGCCAACAGTTCAAAGCCTCAGGGAGCATGATATAAGATAAACAGGACAAAAGAGATGAAACAAGGAAGGAGGGAAGGAAAAGGTGTACTGACATCAGGTGTCTAACAGCATCAGATACAGGCAGTAGTCCTGCTAAGAACCCGCATTTATCCCTTGCTGGTACAGCTAAGGGGAAGGTTCAAGCGGACAGCTCACTGCAGGCAAAATTTACTGTTGAATGACACTGATGTGTCATTCAAGTAATACTGTAAAATTACTTGTAAAATACTGTAAAATTACTGTAAAACAGTAATCCTGTAAAAAGCTGTTCATCATCACAGTTCATATCAATACATCAATAATGTATTATTACTATACACTATTATATATGTAATAACATATGGCTCTACAGGTTCAAGGAACACATACCATTTTAGACTACTGAACTGCCCAAGTCTCAAAAGGCAACCACATTTCAAATGTGCTATGAAAATACAAGAGGACAAACGTGTATTGTGATGAGGTAATGTTATTTGGCTTCTGCAGAACTCAAAGATCAGGATTCTCGCATTCACTGCAGTCTAATCTGGATCAGACGAAATTGCTGGATAAATACCAGCTCAGTATGAAACAGAGGAATGAAATCCTGAAGGTTTCCTTACGTCAACTGAATCAGCACAACAGAGAAGGAATTAATCTTTTATCCTCCTACCACTAAGGAAAATAAAACACACAGATATTAAAGGATGAAGACAATAGTGGCATATAAGTAAAAACGTGGTATTTCTACTATGTTCTAGATTTTCTGGCATAGTTTTCATTTTATGATGGTGTTGACATTTACTGAAAAAGTCAAAACTTCTGAATATGATCAAAGCAAGAAACAAACCAAGCTGTGGCACCAATGCTTTCAGATATGCCTGTCTGGTCACTTGTAATTAGGCTAATAGAAGCATGAGTCTATCCATCTATTGCATGATTTGTTTCTTTTCTCCTCAAAACAGGGCTTAGGTCCTCCCTGCCCGAGGAAGGACACTGTGGCTTATCCTTCTCTGAGTTTCAAATCCTAAAAGTGAAACTTGAATGCGTACAGCAACTATCTTACCTTCTGGACGATACTGAGCAACAATAGTTACTGCTTGGCCTGCGTTCTTCAGGGCTGCCGCCGCTTGTTCATGAGTTGCTGCTTTGAGGTCTACCCCGTTTACCTATGAATAATACAAAAAAACTTTATTAAAATAATTTGTGTTTATCATTATTATCATGGAATTTAGAGTCACATTAACAAAATATAACTGGATACAAACTAGTTTCCATGCCATATGAGATTTTCCTGTTTCCTGCACTGCAATCCAGTTACCACAAACAAGGACTACTGATCTTTACTGAAGTCCAAAGTCAATGAGTTCAGCCTCATATAAATCCAAATGTTAAAAAATATTGTAGAAGGCCTAGCATATCACTTCATGAATTTGTATTTGCTATGCCTAATCTTCTTCTTGCTTAAGACCTTGTTCACTCTTTTTAAGGATGTACACAGAAAATATTCCATGGTTATCATCTCATCTTTCTTCAACAGGCATTTAGGGACTTCCTGAGCCAAAGATTACCTACAGACCGCTACGTTCAAAAGCCAGTGACGAACCTCACCTTCCATGAAATTATCTAGTCTTTTTTTTAAAGCATCAGACATAAAAATGTCAGAAAAAAAACTGTTTGAAGCAAAAATTTGTGTCACACTGTAGACCAATAGCTTTTGTCATAGTAGTTATAAATACAGATGAACTTCAGTATCAGCATTTCAATACTAGCAGAGCTAAAATCATTTTTTCCCTCTTAAATAACTATCAATTCGCATTTTAATTGCCCTAAGAAATTATCCTTCATAGACTAAGTCATTTTAAGAAAAAAAAAAAAATACAAAATCTTTAAATGACCTTCAGTACTAGGAAACAGAACAGGCTCTCAGACAGGTCTGAGATGGGTCTTAGTATGCCTAACAGGAAGTTCAACAGATACTCCAGAAAGTAAAGCACCAACTTTCAGACACTACTGCCAAATGCCTCCATCTTGTTAAAAGGTTTGTTTCCGAAGACTGCAATCTTTCAGTTCAGGCATATGCACCCTGGCGATCAGACTAAGAGAAGTTAATGGCCGACAATCTTTAAGTTCGAACAAACATCTCTGAGGTGGAAAAGTGCTATTTCATCAACTTACAGATGAGAAACTGAGGCAGACAAAAACTTCAAAGATATTTTGAAATATATGGATTACTATTCCATTGTCTCAAATTTATCATAGTTAATGAGATTCTTCTGTATATAAACCATATATATAAACTAAATTCAGGAAGAGAAAGATTTAAATAAATAAATAAGAAAAAAAAACAGCAGCAAGGAATCCTACCGAAATTATACGATCTCCTTTCCTAAGCTCTCCACTCAGGTCAGCAGGCCCTCCTGCAAGGATGAAAGAGATGAAAATTCCTTCTCCATCTTCTCCTCCAACAATGTTGAAACCAAGACCTGTTGATCCTCGATGCAGGACAACTTTTCTAGGCTGCCTGAAGGAGAAAAAAAAAAAAAAAAAAAAAAAAAAAAGGAAAGAACAGGGTCTTGGTCACCAGTCATGAATAAAAGTAGAATAAACAATTCAAGAGCCTTAATAAAGCTCAATCTTACTCTTCCAGGCACTGCTCATCATCTCTCTCCGCTTCAAAACAAACATTCTAAGACTCAAACTAAGGGACAGAGCAGTAACAATGGTTATGGCACAACAGAGAACGTATGGCCTTGTGCCTGCTGCACAGCTGTAGAAAATCCCAGACCTGCATTCTTTCCCATAATATCACAAAAAGTTTGACCTAAATGTCTTTACATCTCAATCTCCTCCCTTGTACAATGTGGATCGAGATACAATGAAATTCTAACCTTGTTATTTATACGGTATTTTAGAAATCCAGTGGAAGAATATAACAGTCTAAAATTAACATGACATACATCATATTTGTTAAGTGTTCACCAACACAAACTTCTTACATAACTCATATACATAGAATAATCTTAAACAGATTTAAAAACTTAATGTGAAATTACTCCTATCATTTGATATCGATTATAGAAGCAAAGCACTTCATACAATTTTAATGCCATTCTCAGTTCACTGCATATGCGTATCTCATTGCCACATGAAATGATGCATTATTTCTCAGTTCATTAAAGTACACTAAACCTTTACAGAATTCATTGTGAAGTGAATGATACATCTAACCGTAATAACAAATACAACAAGATATTATTTTCCTTTCTAAAACATAAAAAGAATTGTAATGGAAAAGCTAACAACAAAAAAATATATCCTTGCTGGTTTAATTTCACTACAGTTGATCAAGTAATAAGTACAGGAAAGAAAAGTTCAAGAATTATGCATAAACCCTTTCCAAAATAAGAATTTACTGCGTTCTCAAATACATTTGCAATTTATTTGCAGCAACTGCAGCTGAAAAAAAAAATCCTAAACCAAGTTGTTTCGTTAATTTTATAAAAATCCCTTGCTGGCTTGGATGACGATAAGAAAGAAGAAATACTGGTCAAGCTAAGAGGTTGAATCGTTAGATAAGCCCACTTTTAGAGAAGAAATAAAAAAAAGATCTAACCTGCTACTCTAACCAATGGAAGAAAAGCACGGATAATTTCAGAAACTGATGAACAATTTCTAATATTAAAGCACAGTAACTGTGTACTGCAATTAAAAAGCACTAGAGAGCACTAAAGAACAATTAGTGAACATTCTTAAGCATTTGGAGACTTTAATTATTAATTTTTAGGATAAACTAAGCTGAAAAACAAAAAAAACAGAACTTCAGTTTGATCTTTAAAATCACCATTTTTGCATTGCCTCTTGGATCAGCTCACCATTTTTGCATTGCCAAATTTCACTTGCATCAACCATCAGATTCATCTTTTCAGAGTATGGTTTTATTACAAATATATGGCATTGTGAAAACATAGGTTTATTGCTCTAGCTTACACTAATACATTTAAAAAATTTCTCAGCGAATACAAATATATGGTATTTCAAAAAGATTATTCAAAATATCTAAACTGTTTTGGGAAGGAGGGCAGGTAATTTCAGGAAAAATACCCAAAGCCTTCTCTGGGTAGCCTTAGATTTCAGAAGAAACCTAAAAGCCTTTCTTTGCAGTAATTTTAGAAGAAAGATAAAAAACTCATAAGATCACTAATGCTGTCAGCAGGATAGAGTCACCTTGGCTAACGTGATCACCTAACCGCCAAGCGTAAGATAACTGCAAAAGACACATATCTGAAGCTTTCCCATCTTCCAAATAATTCTCCAATTTATTATGCCACGTATGTTCCAAGTCTGGGTAGACCTTGCCTCAGAAACTGAACGTTATTCGTACCAGATGACAGTATGACACAGAATTTAGTAACAACTTCCTGAAAACACAGCTTAACATATCTCTATACTTGCAGAATAGGAGAGCAATAAAATTAGAAAAGCTTCACTTTATCAGTGATGGTGAACAAAAGATTAATTCAATCTCCTACTGAATCAGAGAAGGAATAGCCTGTTAATAGAAAAGGATTAAGAGCTTTCTAGCCTTTCTGGGTTTACTAATCCATCAAAACAAACCTTCTTCTGTAACAAAAAAAGATCACTTGCTTTAAAGTAAGCAGTAATCTTTGATCCATGATAAATTCAAAATACAAATGCCTCACTTCTGGTCTGAACCACAAACTACTTAAACTATGCCTTCCTACACTCCGCTAGGAGCTATCCCGAATTATCCCACAATCACTACAGTATCTGAAATTACAGGAACAATCTCTGCTCTGGTCACCTTAAAAAGCTCATTCACCTCATGAAGCACTTCAGCAGGGCATTCTGATTTTAATCCTATTCCTGGACTCATATATCATGCATTAAAAAAAATGTTTTTCTCTTTATATGAACTTTTGTAAGTGTTAAGAAACTACAGATTTCCATGTATCTCTTCTTTACCATTTTGCCCACAAACTCATATTGTGAGCTTTCCTGGCTAACTAATGGGACATGTAATTCTGTTTGCTCCTTACCTGGTAATCTCATCATCTCCAAGCATTCCCTTGGGAACCGGCGAATACCGTCCTGGCGATGCTGGGGGCAGGGACTGTCCCAGGTAAGCAGGCGGAGTGATATGGTTGTCCACTGGCTGAGAATAGGCTTCAGAAACAGGGGGGAAAAATGCGTTCAGACAATTAACCAAAAAAACTCAAGAAATTGTAAAACAGTAGCAAGTGGCATTATCTCCTCTACAGACAGCATGTAAAAATTTAAATGATACATTAAAAATACCATACTTTTAAGACACTGTATCACATTGCACATCCCTGCCTCCTCGCGCTTTGAATCAGCAAGTAAATTTTGAAGTCTGACTGTGTCTTGTACAGAACTTCTTTTCGACGTAACAGACACTGTTAATATTTGAAGCCCATCAGGACAACAACTGGAGAGTTGATCTGTTTGTAAATGATCTCTAACTTAACTGAATTTAATTAAGAATTTTATTTTCTTAAAAGCGCTATGTTGCAGCAACAGTTTAAAAAAAAAAAGTGATATTTTAAAGTTATGCTTCTCCTAAACCGGCAAGATGCCTACCTCTTTCTTTTCAAGGTTTTGGTGCAGAGCATCAGAGCATTTCTAGGAGACTTCAGGCCATTTTGACTGTCAGGCCTGAAGAGGGAGGGATGTAACACTTCTCAGACACTGAGCAAAGCAATCCATCCTTAGGGAGAAGTATAGGTGCTGGGGGTTATATTCAGCCAACAGCACACGTCAAGAAACGAAGGGGAGATTATTCCACCTCCTATAGTTCTAGGTAAGAAGCATCAGTTTACTAGGAGGAAGGAATAAACAAACCAGTGCCAACTGTACTTCAAGGATCAGTTGCCTTATTCACAGGTTTATTGATTTATGCGTAAAATGCATGTCTTTTAGCTGAACCACAACAGACATAGTAGTTTAGCAACTTAAATGCTTCAGTTGATGGAACACATACTACAATTCCAGGAAAAACATCCCTGTAAATAGTTAAGAGGGTGCATTATATTTTTATGTTGGACACGTTAAATTTTTGTATCCGTTCAGACCTAGTCATACCCACTGTCTCCTATTACAAAGTGTACTCTACAGCTGAAAAATGGTTTAGGTGCTTCAGGCTAAGATTGCATTAGACTAAAATAGAACAGAACATTAGATTAGAACTAGAACAGTGCAGCATAGTAAGAGCAAGTCTGTGGGATTAAACAGTTGGTGTTGACAACCCAGTAATTAACCCACTATTGGGAAGCGGGGAGGAAGAGGTTACCCTGGATTAGCTCTACTCTGGTTCCCTGAACTGAACGCTCATTAGGGATTGCAGTGCTCCTGGACTGCGTTTCCCAGTTTAGTTTCATTTAAAAGTAATTCAGCATGTGTCTTCTGCAATGCAAAGGCTCATGCAGAATGCAATTCTGCAACGCAAGAATTAAGAATTCCTGCTCACGAGAAAGGGTAAACTGAGAATTTCTTATTATTCTAGTGCTTGACAATGTAATTTAGATTATGCAACTACAACTTTTGGAGGATAATCGTCTGCATTTTTTCAAGGGAACGCTAAAAGTATTCTAAGATATACAAATTGTTTAAATATATATACATATATATAACTCCACGCAAACCCAACTTCATCTCTGCACAGGTAGATTCTGGCATGCCAGCTCCTCAGCACTGCAGAACAAACTGAGCATCCGGGCTGCCAGCTGGCAAGAGAGAATGCAAGGGGAACTACTGCAGGGAACAAAAGAGCTACATCTCATTAAGCACCAAGGTCAGCCCCCAAAATGCTTTTTGAATTAGGAAAATTCTGAAATTTTCCTTCAATTTCACATTTTTCATGTTCAATTCACCATTAAGGCTACCCGTTGAGCTTGAAGGAGAGCTAAAACAACCTGACCACTGTTTTCTGTGTTTACAACAATCTCTGTAATTTAAAGGTGCTTTAAAAAACAGAGAATGGGCTCAGGTGTTACAGCAGAAGTAAAGGGAAACCCTAACCTGGTCCTCCTCACCTCATCAAGAAATGCTCATAACTGAAAAATGAGCTGGGGACACATATACAAACATCGGATTGAGGGCACCTCATAGATTCAAAATTACTGAATTGCCAGATTCTCTTCACTCTTATTCCCTTGCTATGCCTGATGTGGTACCTGACCTTTGAGGATCTGCACTAAAACCAAAACGTTCTAACTGAATAAACATTATTGCACTACAGAAGTGACCTGTAATTTTTTTTTTTTTAAACCACTGCCTGAACAATTGGGCCATACACGACTTCATCAAGAGCATTTTTAAGTGAGAAATTTGCTCAATACTACAAGCAGAGAAAAGTGCTTTTGCTAAAACCAAACGATCAAAGTCAAAAAAGCATTCAGCGTGGAGAATTCCACAGTACTTAGGAGTTTTTCAAGATGCAGGATCCATGCTGACCTCACATTCATAGAGCCATTTGTTGCTTCTAGCAACTGGTGTAATGCATGTACAATCCCCTCTTCATCCCTATGCTCCCCGCAAGGATTTGAAGACTGCAGATTCTACTCCTTAGTTCTTTTTGTCCGTCTCTGGGACAAGATGCAGCTTCTGTGCAGAGGTAACAGGTTTTGACAGTTCAGTCAGCTTCAGAACTTGCTCTTTTTTAGCCCCAGTGGAGTTTCTGTTAGCACTGATGTTCTGAATTACTAAATTACCGATTACTAAAGAGTACCGCAATATGTACGGCAATATAGATTTGTGTCGCAAAGATTTATAATCGGAAAAATACGCGTGTTCTTACATACCAAAGTGATAACTTCCATGTCAGTGTACATGCTTTGTTAAAGCAAAGTCGTTTAAAGAAAATACTGTTGCATGTAAAAATAATTACTGTAGCTTTATTGGAAAATTATACAATTAAAGCACAAAAAACGTGATGCGTACTTTATGAACTCTTTGCTAATTAGTGAAAAATGGGTTTGGATTAAAAAAATAAGGAAACGCAGCACAGTATAGCAACTCTATACATACTGCTCATGAACTAAATCTTCCCATCTCAGAAAATAAATTTACAGTTGCTTTTAATAAGCTACTGACAGCTATTATGAGTCATACTTTACAGGAAGTAACTGGATTTTTAAGACAAATTTTATGTTAATTGAATTACAATGCTTCTTTTAAAGATACTCGAAGCTTTTAACTGTACTATGTTCAGAAACACATGCACCATCCACTACTATCATACACTCTTACATTTAAATTTTGTATCTTTTCACCATATAACTAAATTTAGCTATCGAGCAATATAACAAATTATTATTTTGGACCAGTTAACTGTTCCACATCAGCACCGGCTACGTCCTTTAACAAAGCTCTACAAAGGCTAAGCGCTTCACAAAGTTGAGTCATTTTCCAGAGTTGGCAATCTTCAGCACTGTGGAAGCTAACACGCAAGAAACTGTTTTGGATGAGCACGAGATTACAAACATAAAATTAACTTGCCAATTTGAATCACATCTGAAATAGTACACAGGAAAGGCAGACTCTTAAGGAGAACTTCCACTTCCAAATCTACCCCTCTTGACATAACAATTCTATACAGAAAGATGAAGATTTCTCGCTATTATCTGTAAACTGAAGACACCAATCTTGCGTACAATCTCTAAAGTGGAAAATAAATTAAGAATTGTACTGTAATTTACTGTTATTACATGCTCTTCTCTTTCCATATTTATTCATTTAAGCAAAAAGGCATTTACGTCTCCAGTCAGAAAACCGATTATTACCTCCCCTGCAGCATTCTACTTCTGACCACACCGTTGGAAATATTTTACCAACGCACACACAGACAGAGCACAAACAACGTAATAATTCAACACTGCCTAGTAGTCAAAATGTATCATTAATACTGCCTTCAAGGGAGGTTTGTATAGGGAATAAGTCCTCTTTGTCCCTCAAGAAGGTGCAGATGCTTTTCCAAGTCTGACATTCTACAATATGTACCGTGCAGTTAAAGTGTGTTTTTTTAAATAGTAAGTTCTGGACCTTCTTAGTAATAGTTAAAACTGAGTAACTTCAAAAGCATTTAGACCAGTAAGTTCCTTGACGTTTATTCCTAGACTGATTTTTAATGATCAATGTTTATAGACA